TAAGAATAATTCTAAGTTTATTGGAGCTTAGAATATTCATGTCCAAATAGATTCCCCACTTAACTTCGTAGAATTCAACTTGTTTAAGTTAGAATACATATTTTAATTTGATTAATTAAATTGTATAAAAAAATAACAGCTTTAACATGTTTGTCTTATTTAGACAATAAAACATGTTTGGTCTTAATTTAGACAAGAGAAAATATGTTTGTCTTAATTTAATATAAGAAAAATATTTTTGGTCTTAATGTAGATAAGAAAATATATTTGTCTCAATTTAGACAAGATAAAATAAGTTGTCTTAAATTAATATAATGTTCAGAGGATTCTTGCAAAATGAATCTAGAGATCCATGTTAATAAAAGGAGACTCCATATTTGACTATCATTTTTTATTTATTATTAATTCTTTTTAAATAGAGATAGAGTTATTATTCAATAAAGAGTTTTATTTTATCAAGAACTTTAAATGATAATTAACAAATTAAATTATTTGTTCTTTAATTGTAATTTTGATAATTATGGAGTATGTTTGATGCTTCCATAACTTTAAATGGATAATCAAGATCGATTCAAAGGTATTGATTTTGATTAAACATTTGAGGCAAGAGTTTTAATAGAAAGAAAAAAGATTGAAAAAAAAGAAAGGTATGTACTTTTCTTGAAAAAGTTTCAACTGTCACTTCTCACCTTCTCCTAACTTTGTTGTATCTCTTTTCCTTTCTCCCATTCTTGGTTGAATATTTTTTTAAAGAAAAATAGCCATTAATTTTGAGAAAAAATGAGAGATAAAATCGATTGTCATCTTTTGGTCTAGCATTCCACATTTTATCCATTCAAGGTTCAAGTTGAAAACATTCATGAAGAGTAAGTGGTAAACTTGTTTGGTTAAGAAAACAATCGTTGGTGTGGTGATGTCCAAAAATAAGAATCTAAAAAAATATATATATATTTTTTCTTACTTAATAGATTCTTAGTTTTAAGATGTGATTATGTTACTTG